CTTTGAGGCATTTAACACATTACACAAATGTAAGGGATGTGTATTTTGGGAGGGCTTGGGAATTCCCTTCCTTTCCTCCAGGGAAAGGAAGGCAAAAAAAGTCCATGCCTGTTTTATCCAGAAGAAAGGATTCGACGCACTCATTTAATGCTATGATGAGGCGGCAGAGAGTTGTGTAATAAGTACACTGGATGTGTCACCATCCTTATTAGAAAATTAACACAAGGTTTAACCATCAAGTAATGAGACTGATATTTAAATAAACATATCTAAATGGGTGTTGTTCCATCCTGAGGAGTGAGTAGTCACCTTGGCAGGGGAAACACTTATTTAAATTATATTTCCTATCGAGAAAATTTTTTAACTCCTCTTTTGGAACTGTTCCTAGAACCTCTGGCACATTTTTAAAAATATGTCTGAGGGTGACACATTTTCATCCTTCGTGGGGATAGTTCTGATTTTTGTAAACAGCCTAAAGTTATTTGTCATGACTGGTAAATAAGCTAATAATGCCATTTTAAAATTGAAACTAAACTGTGATTATAAGATAGAAGTCTATATTTCTTTCGGTTCCAACGGAAGAGTGACAAATAGATTTCAACTACGGCAGTATGGTGGGAAAGGCTTTGGTTCTCGGATGACAAGAGGAGAAAAGCCATTTGGAAATGTATTTTTAGTCGCACTCTTCATTATTTATCGTAAAGATTATTTGTCACTAGGCTTTGAGTTTCCAGAAAGAAAAAAACATTACCTCTAATCATTTTATCAGAATTCCGCAGGGCATGTGAATCCTTCGTTTCTGTAGGGATTAAGTGTCTAGCAACAATACAGATGTTTGCAATGAGTCAACATCTGGATCTGAAGAAAATACAGCACCCAGCAATATTTTAATCAGTACATACTATACTCCCTCAAAAAGTTGGATTTTTTTTCCAGTTATGAAACAATCTCTCTGAAAACCAAAAGATCACTAATACCTTCACAGTGTAACCTGAAGCTGCTGGGGTAGATTTGCTTCTGGTGCAAATAATTTAAATTGTTAGTATTATTTTGAAATAAACACACTGGCACCTTCATTCATGAAATGTGGGCGCTGTGGGCACTTCGATGTTAAGTGTTGCCAATGATTTTTTATGGAATATATTCTTCCCTATTCATTTTTTTATTATGGTAAAATTCACATAACATAAAATTCTTCATGTGACCATTTTAAAGTGCATGATTCACTGGCATTTATTTAGCACAGTCATAATACCCTGCTATCATCATCACTATCTAGTTCCAAAGCATTTTCATCACCCCAAAAGGAAACCTCGGATACATTAAGCAGTCACTCTCCATTCTTCCCTCATCCCCCAGCTCCTGGCAACTATTCCCTTAATCTTTCTGTTTCTATGGGTGTGGCTATTCTAGATTTTTATTTCTTTCTTATTTTATTTTATTTTGAAATAGAGCCTTGCTCTGTCACCCTAGGTAGAGTGCTGTAGCATCAGCTTTACTCACAGCAACCTCAAACTCTTGGGCCCAAGCAATCCTCCAACCTCTGGAGCAGCAGGGACCATAGGCCCCCACCACAATGCCTGGCTAGTTTTTCTATTTTTAGTAAAGATGGCGTCTCACTCTTGCTCAGGGTGATCTTAAACTCCTAAGCTCAAGCAATTCACCCACCTCAGCCTCGCAGGGTGCTATGATTACAGGGATGAGCCATTGCACCAAGCTGGACATTTTATAGAAGTGAAATTTTATTCACTTATATAAAAGTATGTGGCCTTTTATTTCACTTAGTACAGTATTTTCAAAGATCATCTACGCTATAGCACGTATCAATATTTCATTCCTTTTTTTTTGCAATATTTTGGCCAGGGCTGGGTTTGAACCCGCCACCTCTGGCATATGGTGCCACTCACCTTTTTTTTTAGAGACAGAGTCTCACTTTGTGGCCCTTGGTAGAGTGCTGTAGTGTCAGAGCTCACAGTAAACTCCAGCTCCTGAGCTTAGGTGATTCTCTTGCCTCAGCCTCCTGAGTAGCTGGGACCACAGGCGCCCGCCAGAACGCCCAGCTATTTTTTTTGATGTTGCAGTTTGGCTGGGGCTGGGTTCGAACCTGCCACCCTCGGTATATGGGGCGGGCGCCCTACTCACTGAGTCATAGGCGCTGCCCACTTCATTCCTTTTTATAGCTATATAATTCCATTGCATGGGTATATCACATTTTGTTCATCCACTTATTGACTGATGGACATTTTTTGTTGTTGTTTTTTGAGACAGAGTCTCACTTCATCACCCTCAGTAGAGTGCTCTGGCATCAAAGCTCACAGCAACTTCAAACTCTTGGGCTCAAGTGATTCTCTTGCCTCAGCCTACCAAATAGGTGGGACTAAAGGCGGCCACCACAACTCCTAGCTATTTTTAGAGACCGGGTCTCCCTCTTGCATAGGCTGGTCTTGACCTTGGTAGCTCAGGCAATCTACCCGCCTCGGCCTCCCATAGTGCTAGGACTGATTACAGGCATGAGCCATGGCATTGGCCTATCATTGGACATTTGGATTGTCCTTTTAGCTATCCTGAATAATGCTACAATGAACATGAGTGTACAAGTTTTTGTTTAAACACCCATTTTCTTTATTTTATTTTTTGCAGTTTTTTTTTTTTTTTTGGCCAGGGCTGGGCTTGAATCCGCCACCCCCGGTATATGGGGCCAGCACCCTATTCCTTGAGCCTGAACATCCATTTTCAATCTCTTGGGTATACCCAGGAGGGGAATTGCTGGGTCATATGGCAATTCTTTGTTTAACTTTTTGAGGAACCACCAAACCTTGAACTCATTTTTATGCTTACAGTTTACAAGGGAGGAGGAGGGGGAGGAGGAGGAGAAGGAGAAGAACTGCAGTGGAACCCTAGGCAGGACCCAGAGAGGTCTCTTTTTCAGGAACACTGAGTACAGCAGCCAGGCTTCATCTGAGGTAAGCTTGTTCCCAGGCAAGGTGACAAGCTGTTGCCCTGAACAGCTTTCTCTGCTCTCTACATGTCACAACATGAACTGGCTGGGCAGGAATACCTTCCTGCCTCTTAGGCATTCTTGGTTTTCCATTATGTTGTATACACTTTTAGAAAAAAGATGTTAACTACCTAAGGCTTCCCTCTTCTGTCTTTGCTGGAGTTCAGATTAGGGCCTGGGATCAATGTAAAAACAAAGTGCTATGCCCCTGTCCTGGACACAGGCTTGTCCTTTTCAGCTAAGCTAGAGAACAGGGCCTTCCTAATACTAGTTGGGACCACAGAGGGAACCGCCATCAAGGGTGAATTTTTACCAAACATTTTGGCTGACAGCACTGTCCAGTGATTGTCACCCTCCCCATCCCCCCATACTGAAGATGAGCCTACTCTGCTTTGCATATTACAGATTGAACATCCACTTTACTGGCCAGAGCGACAGGAGATAATCCTACTACAGGCATTGTTTACTGCAGCTAATTTACTGAGTCATGAGCCTTTTCAGTCATTAACCCGGCCCTAGACAGTAAAAGATTAGCACTGATTTTTAAATTTAAACCCATTTGGGAGCCTCTCAGAGTGCTGACCGCTTCCCCTAACTCTCTAACACAGAAGTAAGTTTCTCAGCTACAGACCCCCCAAAACAAGACGCATCATGTTGCATTGCCAGCAACAGAGACAAACTAAAATGGCTTTTTTGGCTTTTTCCACTTGAAAATAAATACTAAGAATGAAGACATCAGTTCCCGGGTTTTGTTTTGTTTTTAGAGAGACTTACTTTGTCGCCTTTGGTAGAGTGCTGTAGTGTCATAGCTCACAGCAACCTCAAACTCTTGGTCTTAAGCGATTCTCTTGTCTCAGCCTCCCAAGTAGCTGGGACTACAACACCAGCCACAACGCTCAGCTATTTCTTAGAGACGAGGTCTCCCTCTGGCTCAGGCTGGTCTCGAACTACTGAGCTCAGGCAAACCATCCGCCTCAGCCTCCCAGAGTTTGGGATTACAGGCGTGAGCCACCCCACCTGGCCTAGTTCCCAGGGTCTTGCTTTGCTGTCTCTCTGCCAACCAAGCTGTCACTTGTAGCTTGTCTCCTGGCACCCCTTTCAGGTGTCCTGTCCTGAGTCTGCTATTAGAACAGGAGAAAAGTCCCTCGGGTGGTCATATCCTCCATAATCTGGCAGGAAACCTAAAATTTGTCTGCTCCCGTCGTTCAGTTTGCTTATCTGCTTCCTTGTTGGGAAGAGTCTGCATCACAGTGTCCGGTTAGGGGGTTTTTAAGATGACCTCACCCTCGGCTGCTTCCATTCACTGATCTCAGCGTTACCGAACTCACATCTCAGCTCAGCTCCGGTGCAGCCCACATTAGTGAGATATTAACAACCCCTCCCAGCACATCTCACAGAACACCAACCCCAGTTCTTTTTCCTCAAAGGAAGGCCCTCTCGGGGGTCTGAAAAATGCCAAAAAGAGCTGGAAATCTGGTTATCGCTCTGGGCTTGGGAGAGCAGAACGTCAAGGGTGCCACCTTAAGAAAATGCACCATGAATCTCCCAGGCTGGCGCCGGCTGTTGAAATAACTTTCGAGTTAGTGTCCTCGAAGTTAGTGGTGGGGACTGCGGCAGCAGGCAGCGGGCGCGTAAACCTGGGGAAAGGGCGGCGAGAGCCTAAACAGCAGCGTCCGGGGCCTACTCTCCGATCCCCGGGACGGGGGAAGGGGCCCTGCTCCTCTGAAGCGCGCACAGTTAGTTTGAGGCGCGCGCCCGGCCAGCCCCACGTGACCGCAGCTCCCCAGACCTCCTCGCGCGCTCCCAGCCGCGGCCACGGGCACGCGAGAGCGAGCGCGTGACTCACCAGCGCGGGGCAGGCGGCAGGGGTACGACCCGGGAGTACGCGCGCGCTCCTGGAAGGCACAGGGGGCGCGCACGCCCTGGGGCCACCGCCCCTTCTGGGCCCGCCCTCCTTCCCTCCCTCCCCGGCTCGCCTGGCCCGCCCTGCCCGGCCCGCCCTGCGAGTCAGTTCGCTGGTTCCCTCCCTCCCCGGGCGCGCTCGGGCCGCCGCTGCGCTCCCCGCCCTCGAGCCGCGGAGCCGGAGCCGCCCGCCGCCGGAGGAGGAGGCGGAGGGAGCCGGAGGGGCCCGCCGAGGCGGCGGCGGCGGCGGCAAGATGGCGGACTTCCTGCCGTCGCGGTCCGTGCTGTCCGTGTGCTTCCCCGGCTGCCTGCTGACGAGCAGCGAGGCCGAGCAGCAGCGCAAGTCCAAAGAGATCGACAAATGCCTGTCGCGGGAGAAGACCTACGTGAAGCGGCTGGTGAAGATCCTGCTGCTGGGCGCGGGCGAGAGCGGCAAGTCCACTTTCCTGAAGCAGATGCGGATCATCCACGGGCAGGACTTCGACCAGCGCGCGCGCGAGGAGTTCCGCCCCACCATCTACAGCAACGTGATCAAAGGTGCCGGGGCTGAGCCGGGGGCCGGGGGTCTGGTACTGCGGGCTGCGGCGGCGGGTGCGGGGCTGGGCGCCGCCCTAGTCCGCTCTGTCTCTGGCGGGGGAGACCGGGCCCGGCGGGAAGGGGGCGCGCCCGGGGCACTGCTCCTGCCCGCCCAGGGCGCCCTCGACCCGCAGGTGAGAGGATGCCCTGGAGCGCCCCGTTTTGCTTCCTGCCACCCCGGTGGGCGTCACAGCAGTTCCCTTAGTCCCCACCTGCTCCTGGACCCTGGTTTCGCTCTCTCCGAGAGGGAAGTGAGACGAACCGGGTACTTCGGGATGCGGGGTGACCTCTGCTGTCCTTGCAGATGAGGCAGGAAGACCCTAGAGCAGCCCCAGACCCGACATCCCCATCCCCCGCCCGGGCGCAGTGTGCTAACCTCGCTGCCCTGGGTGGGTGACCCGAGTCACATGGGGTCGGGTGCGCTCCCAACTCCCTGCATTCTTGGCCGCCTCCTGAGCAAGGGAGTTCTGGAACCGTCGCAGTAAGGAAACTTTTTGCCTGAGACTCTTTGTCAAGGGCTTAGAGTGACAGATTCTGGGGCCCTTTTGGGCAATAATACGAAACTTGAGGGTGTCAGGTTTACTGTACTGGCATCGAGAGCAAGTAGACCCATACAGTTAGTCAAAAAAGAAATTAGCATCAGTGGTTTTCACCCCACTGTTCCCGTCAGGTAACATGTTGGCCTGTAATGATTGTGCAACACGTTCCATTCTCTTTTTTGCTGAATGACTGGGGGCGGAAAGGAAAGGGGCCACTACTCGCTTCTGTTTAGATGAAATTATGTAGTAATACGAAGACTCTTTGGCATAAAAGTCGTGCGGATCCTGTGCGGGTGGAGTCAGTGAATCTGTGTTGGGTTGAATCTGCTCTTGTTTGATAGTGTTTTCAAAATTACATTTGGTTCTTAATTGAAAAATACTTTGGGCCTTCAAAGAAATCAAGAAAATGATTTTTATTTTGTCATTTGAAAGAGTTAGCACTCATTTTTCTTAGTGTCCAGTATGTTCTGTAAAAAAAGGCATTTTGGCAAAATTTTGCTCCCGGTACTGCAGGTGCATCAGGATTTTCTCTGGGTAGCAGTTTTTCCCAGATAACTCTTAACTGGAGTTTGCTGCAGATTGCAAGTCTTTTCAAGGAGTGTTTTAAGTGGGATTTTTGTTCAGGAAGTACACAAGTAACTTATTCATAACTGTCTTTAGTGTTTGGGTAGAGAAAAACTGCCTGCCTGGAAGCAGAGGCATTGTGGGGTAGTGACTGGAGAAGAATGCTAGGCCAGGAACTCGTGGGCCACAGCCCCAGCACTTCAGCAGTTAAACTATAAAGAACAGTTGTATTTATTCTGCCTTAATGTTTAGTGTAAAACTAATTAAAGTCTGTTTCAAGGCCATAGACCCTGCCTGGTTGGTCCTTAATTGAAGGTACCTTTGTATCCTGAATACAGCTGAACTTAAGGAATTATGTTAATGAATAGAGTCAACAAGTTAACTGATTGTGAGCCAGGAAAACAACCTAGATCTTAATGTATGCTAGGTCCTAAATGTGACCTACTTTGAGCATTGATTATGAGATGTAGTCACTAGACATCTAGTTTTGTTGAGTTGGCATGATCAGAAAATTGACAGCAAAACATTTTTTTCAATTATCCAAACAAATGACTTCCTTAGTAGCCATGTGACTATTGAGGTGGACTAAAGGTAATAGGTTAGTTAGTGATAGAAATACTAATAATTGAGTTAAACTAACCTCTGAGCTGGAGTCTGTTTTTATGTTGGTCTGCCTCCTTTTAGGGAAATCTAAGGCCATCCTATGCCTTGCACTGACTGGAAGCTTGGGCCAGAAGTTTTTTGTTTGTTTGTTTGTTTGTTTTTGAGATAAGAGCCTCATTTTGTGCTTGTGCATTGGCCTCACGGCTCCCAGCAACCTCAAACTCTTGGGCTCAAATGATCCTCTTGCCTCAGCCTCCCAAGTACCTGGGACTACAGGAGCCCACCACAATACCCAGCTATTTTTTAGAGACTGGGTCTTGCTCTGGCTCAGGCTGGTCTCAACCTCCTGAGCTCAGGTGATCCACCCTTCCTGGGCAGAAGTTTTTGAGTCTTTTGTGTGTTCCTAGAAGACTTACTCTGGTGCTGGCTAGAGTGCTGAGGGACCGAGCAGAGTGCTGAGCTGGACTGTTTGGTTCTTAGTGTTTCGTAAATAAATGTCTTTGAGATGTGCTCATAAAATCTTGGTTCCAGCCATTTTCTTCAGAGCCTCAACATCAGACTAGGCAGCATCATTTCTTTTTCCTTTTTTAGTTTGGTTGTCCTTTGACCACCCTCGACCCTGAAAGTTACTTTATAAATTGAAACTTGTTAAAATCCTTCAAAAAGAGCAGCTATGTTAAATGTATTTGCTTTTCAAGGCTCTAATTTTAAGACCGGGAGTAACTATTAGATATTTTAATCTCTGAGAAGTTGAGGGTGTTAGTTTTGTTGTTGATTTCCATTTTTGGATGCTGTGAGCCTGGACTAATTCAGAAGTTTAAGAAAACAAAGTGGAATAAAAACTTACAATACCATCTAATGGTTCTTTCCCACGCTATTTTTTTTTTTTTTTTATCTTTTTAAACAAAGGTATGAGAGTACTGGTAGATGCTCGAGAGAAGCTTCATATTCCTTGGGGAGATAGCTCAAACCAACTCAATGGAGACAAGATGATGGCATTTGACACCCGGGCCCCAATGGCAGCCCAAGGAATGGTGGAAACTCGGGTTTTTTTACAATACCTTCCTGCTATAAGAGCATTATGGGCAGACAGCGGAATACAGAATGCCTATGACCGTCGTCGAGAATTTCAACTGGTAAGAGATTTGCTCTTTCAAAATATTATCTTTTTTTTTAATGACCTTAAGTAACACAGATTACACATCCCTAATCCGGAAGTCTGAACTATAAGGTGCTCTAAAATCCAAATTTTGTGAAGATGGAAAAATAGACACAGCGGTAAAGGGACAGGCCTAATGAGTGGCCCCATAATGTGTGTAAAATTCATTTATGTTTCATATACACCTTTAGGTAAGTATTTGGGGTGTGTATAAAGCATAAATGAATTTTGTATTTAGACTTGGGTCCCCCCCCAAGATGTCCCATTATGTTTGTGCAAAGTCTGGAATATTTTAAAAACTGAAAAAATTCAAAATCTAAAACATTCTTGGTCCCAAGCATTTCAAGTAAGAGATACTCAACCTGTCTCTGATTTTAGCATACTTTTTCACTGAGTTCCACAATTTAATGTATCTGTCCATTAATAAATGAACTTTTTACTAAGCAAGATAAAAAATAAGATGAACTCTAGATTTGGTAAAGCTATTCCATTTAATGGGTCATTTTTCCTTTTTGAAAGTGAGGTCATAGGTCAAGTGCAGTGGCTCATGCTGGTAATCCTAGCACTCTGGGAGGCCGAGGCAGGTGGATGGCTTGAGCTCCCAGGTTCAAGACCAGCCTGAGCCAGAGTGAGACCTTGGTCTCTAAAAAATAGCCAGGTGTTATGATGAGCACCTATAGTCCCAGCTACTTGGGTGGCTGAGGCAAGAAAATCACTTGAGCCCAAGAGTTAGAGGTTGTTGTGAGCTATTATGCCACGGCACTCTACTGAGGGTGACAAAGTGTGAGACTCTGTCTCCAAAAAAATAAATAAATAAAATAAAGTGAGGTCATAGTGATTTTCTTGGGCACTTTCTTCTAATTTTATTCTGTTAATTATAAATAATTTTCTCTCATTTATAGCAACTACATTCTAAAAAACTGACCATTCTTGGAATAAGAGTACAATAACCTAATCTAATTGTGTTTGGAGGTACTCATTTTATGGCGCAGGTTATA